TGTCACTGGGATTTGAACTCTAGACCTGCCACTTGGGGGTTGACAACCTATCCACTTCACTAGGTCACCACACCCCAATATAAATACCTGTTTGAGAATCTAATAAATAATCTTAAATAGCAATTAAGTATTCTTTTTGTTCAGGAGTTGAGACTATATAATTGTACAATGAATCATTAAGTGGACTTGTCTAGCTATCAAGTGCTAATGTTAAATTGTATTGATTTGCAAGAGATTTATTAATATTAATTATAACATTAGCAAGCTCTTTATCAAGTAAATGATTAGCTAAAGTATACCTATGTGAAGGTATATAACTAGGCTTTAGCAATTTAAGTAAATTAATAAAAATTGGATTTTTTATAACAGTTTAAAATATACCACAGCAAACAAACATCTTAACCAAAACTTGGTTTATTTTTTTTTTATACTCTTCACTAATTGGTTCTATTGACTTAAATAACTGTTTTTGATTCTTGTTTTGCTTTCTTTTTTTTTAATCTAAATCAAAACTTTCATATTGATCATCACTATCTGAAGTAAGTTTTTTAACTTTCTTAGCAATTAAACAAAGATAATAGGTAACTAAATGATTCAGAGCTTTATCACAATGTAATGCCAAATGACTTTCCATCATTTTTGGTTTTCCTCTTAGCCAAGATTACCTACAATAATTACAAATAGTACTGCAATGACCATATCGATCAGGTATACTTTTTTTAAAATGATTCCACACGAGTGCTAATGGATGTTCTTTTTTAAATACTTTTTTTTTGGATATTTTTTGTTGAAAAGATGTAAGCTGATCATTTACTTTATTTGTTAAAGCCTTTACAGAATCCATGAAATATTAATATATTAAAAGTGAAAGACAAAAAAAAATAATTTATATTTATTTTAACTAATATATGACATCAAATTTAGATCATATTTATGCAATAAATTATAATTTTGTAATAACTAATATCCATTACTAGTTACATATTTTTAAATTTTAAATTTTATTATTTTTAAAATGTTAACATATGTAAAGTTGGGATCAAATCTTATGAAAGCTTGGTAACTTCTATGTTAAATTTAATTCCTAATGTTATTAATACTTGTGTGAATAAATGCGTAGTAATAAAGTATAAGACTTTAGTATTAGACGAAAACAATATTATATTAAAATCATTGAGGACTGTAATTATGAAGTTATTGCTGATAAAAATGATATCTCTGATGATAATATATTATCACACCATTTGGTTACATTAAACATGTAGTTATTAAAAATCTTTGCACTGCTATGCAACTTAGAACCTACCAGCATGGTTATTAAATCCGATATTTTTAAGTGAGCAATCCTTATAATTTATTTTGCTCTCAAGTATTAATTAGAATTAATGAGGCTTTGCACTGTTAAACAGCCGTAGAAACCAACTAAAACTATTACTTTACAGTCTTTTGGCCACTAAGATATGAGTATATAAATGATTGAGTCAAACCACAGCAAAAATGATATCACATAAAATATATTGATTACAAATATATAACTGGTCTCGCAATAATATTGACTTCGTTACTTTGTTGATAAGCAAATTGATGTTTGGGATTTTGGCTTATATTGGGATTTCGGCTAATATTTGGGATTTCGGCTAATCTCTGGGATTTCGGCTAATATTTGGAATTTTGACTTATATTGAGATTTTGACCAATATTTTGGATTTTGTCAAATACCCAAATCCCAGTCCCAAATTGCCGTAATGCCGTTATTTGCTGAAAGTATTTTGGGTCCCATCACTAATCTTAAGTAAATTGTTCAGCACATGTAACCACACATATTTTTAAATCTAACCTTAACTTTAATATATGTAAATGCTATCAAGAAAAAACCTATCATCAGGCTTTCAATTATATTCTTTGTCCAGTTTATTCCAAATCTATCATCGGGTTTAATCAATTATATTTTTCTTGATGAACCAAATCAGGCTTAAACATATATAATTTAATATAATAAAAATTTTCGTCCTTAAAATTTGTATAATGCTGAACTGATTTGGGTGGTTATGCTTGAGAGGTTCATACGTATAGGCACTATACGTATAAATATTATACTTATCGGGTATGAGTACGTATTAACAGTTAAATAAATTTGTACCAGATACGTACGTAGTACTGGGGTGGTAAATCAACTAACCTATATCAGCTATATTAGTAATTTTACTATGATCAGTGAAATTAAAATAATCGATTAAATATCATATTTGATAAATATTTAATTAAAATAATCGATTAAATATCATATTGATATATATTTAATTAATAAATCACGCACAATTTCTAAAGAACACATCTTGATATTGTACTTCTTTTTTCTAATTTTTTTAAATTGAAAACTCTTCACAGAAGTCAACTTGCACATTTAAATTCTAAATTTTTTTTTTCATTTTAATTAATGAAATTTAATTTATTTATAAGAATGTTCAAATTTATTCTCCAACATTTAATAAGTTACTTGAGAAAATTTCAAGGTAATTCTTTGAGGTTTCAATAAGTTACGTCGTTTTTAAAGTAATTAATTTTAATATCTGGTATTGTAAAATATGTTGCACACTGGGTGAAGGATCAGTCGTGTAACATCGACGGTTCCTCCTGTTGCTACATTCAAGGTGCCCCTTACTTCTACTTCGGACAATTTTACAATTCGGACAATATCGATATCACGTTTATATTATGTCATACATCACTGCTAGACTATTTAAAGCAATCAAAAAAAAAAATCCAGTATATAAATCCAAAAAACTTATTCGCCTTTTGTAAAATAGATTCTTTGACGGATTAGCAGGTCTCGTCCGTCCCTTTTTTTTTTTTAAAAAAAAACAATATGCCTATCGTCAGAATAGGTCCAACATTTTCTTCTCTCCAACAATACAACGTCAACGATGACCAAAATCCAATTCTCGTTAATTCTAAAAATTTCACTGGATATATAACAGTGCGACTACAAAATCATCATTATAAAAATGAAAATGTCATAGAAACAAATTCTTATTTTGAGAATCATCGGCGTTTCTTTTCTTTTCAGTTTCAAGGTCGATTTAAACCAACAAATTTCGATCGATCCGATCATTTATGGACGTTTGATGACTTATTATTTTGCGCCGAAACCGAAAAATCTATAAGTCCACCAATGGGCGCTTCTCTTGTCGTTAAATTTGCTAGGTATATAGATCCAGGTTTTACCGCTGACGGCATGTTTCTAGAGAAGAGACCTTGGGCTGGTAGTTGGCTTGTTTGTGGGATGAATGTTATGAAAGTTTGGAAAGCAGATGACAATAACAATACATATTACGATGAAAAAATGGATATTTTTGCGAAAAATTTATTACCAAAATTTACCACAATTTCATGTGACCCTTCTTCTTTATTACCCGTGGACCCTTGGGTTTATCATGGTCAAAATCACCTAAGTGAAGATACTAGTCTTATTTTTTCTGATAAAAAGGTCAATTTTAATTCCAAAAAACGTAGAACCCTTTTTTTTAACCCTATCGTTCGCCAATCTCATGCATTTGACCCATCTTTGGTTTACGCTTTTGATTTCTTCAATAACTTTACAAATTTTTCTACAATGAACGCTGATATGTTTATTAAATTTAGTATGGCAAATGTACTTAAAAATCAACCACTTAGATTTGTTTGCAGGGATAAAAAGGGTGATTCCATTTTTTTTGTAATAGAGATCGATTATTCTGATTTACTTGAAAAATAATGAATGTCCTTTCAAAAGAATCAGAGTAATTTGTAATTATTATTATGGAAATTTGAACAAATATATTATTTTTTGTAAGGTATCCTATTACTTATAAATGAAAAATAAAACATGATTTACAAAGTCCATCTATCTAAAAATCTTCATTCTTAACTCTCAATATGAGATGTTGGTTAAATTGCTCACTCTGCAATTCTGGTAACCCGGTGTCACGGGTCATTATCGCGAATTTCCTTATACCATGAAACTAGTTTATCGAAGTGTAAAAGGTTAACTAACACAAGCATCAGCCAAGGAAAAACCTCGAACTGGGAGTTTAAGTACCTGTATATAAATTTACTCTCACTTATCATATATAGGGCTGAATTAGTAAACAATAATAATATGCTTAAATTCCCAGTTCGAAGTTTACGCCCATATTCAATCTCGTTCCAATTTTCCTACTTCTGCATTTGAAGCTTTACAACTTGGTACCGTACTTTGGCTATCTAATTTTTTTTATAAATTGTCCAAATTTTATAACTTACTTTCCCACCACATATTTCAATGGTAAACTTTTCATTCTTATAAGAGCATAGTATATAACATTATTAATTTCTTATATTAAATGTCGTGGCTGATGCTGAAATTTAGGTTCTCGATTTGAAAATATAAGTCCTGCTAGCCCAAACTTCTAACCCAACCCTAAAAAAGTTTAAAATTTCGTATCCAAATTTCAGCATCAGCCGTGACATTAAATATAGTTCATGTTTCTCCGTGAATCGGCATTTACTTTTATCATTCACGGCGTCGGTATAGTTTTTTAGAATTATTCTTACATACAATGAAACAATTTTATTGAGAAATATTCATTTTTCAATTAACTATGATTTGGTCTAATGTTTCTTAATCAAACATTATTTTTGTGTACTCTCAATAATCTTATTAAACTTGCCTCAATTCCTTTTTTAGTCATAATCCAATCCAAAAGCAGAATTTTTACCTGTGTCTTGATGGGTATGATCGATATTATAATGACACGGAAATTTTTGTAAAATCGATTTTACTGTCACAGAAGTCGAATATAATGAAAAGGCTAATCAAGAAGAATTCATAATGTTTACTAGCGTTATGTATTGAGGGATGTTTTTCTGTGGTGACAAAATACAATTCATCTCTATATATATTAGAGAATGATCAATTCATAATGTTTAATAAAAATGACTAATTCATAATGTTTTTAATACTGGTCAATTCTTTTTTTTTTTGAAAAATTATAAGTTTAATCAAATTAAAAACCTCAATATAGATTGCAATGATGTATATTTTCAAGTCTACGAGTCATACATGAATTAATAATTGACGTTAATTAAATGATGCGTACCGTAAAATCTCGAGATAACACTATTTTAAGATTTTACGGTAACGTAGATGATAGATCTAATGATGGCGTTTCTGGAAACTTTGCCGAGGAGTCCTGATTTTGTTCAAATATTTTTTGTTTCGATTTTTCCTTTTTGGACGATGTGAAATCTGTACTCGAGCAGCCCCTAAAGCATTAAAAAAGATTCAGTTTATGTGCTTACATATGGTAACTTTTAAATGATTAATATTTACCTGCAACCACACAAAACACATTCAACAATGCGTCCTGCTTCCAGTTTTGACTTTGGTACGCGACAAATGCATGTTGTCCCAAAATTTGTGTCTTTAGGTTGGATGCATCGGAGGCAGCAAAGGCGTTCAAATCCAGGCTATTTATGAAAAAGAATAAACCATAAGTATCTATACACAACAAAATATTTTGATCCTTATACTTGATAAAGGCCTACATAATACCTTTTTCCATTTTGCGATCAAATTTCCATCTGCATACCCATGTTTTATACAATATTCGTACACTTCCTTCGTTATTGCTTCACGCTTATAATACAAATCGTAAATGTAACGTGATCTTTGATGATGTAACCGAAAAATAGGCCATAAAGATTCAACACGGCGTTTTCCCTCGTGTGGTTCATTCTCAGCTATGGAATAAGTTTAAATGATTAAAAAAATCTTGAAAAACAAAAAATTTTACTATAACATACCATCTTTCATTTTTCGAGCAAACTCAAGCAAGGTTGGCTCGATGTCTTCAAACCCTTCTGGAGGCTTTTTGGTCCGCGCGTGTCTAATTTTTGGCATGATTTAAAGAATATACGATAGAATACGTAAATGGTTTTTTTTGAAAATGTGGGAAATAACATTTATATTTACGTTAACATACATGTGATACTAACCAATCAAAGCACGCCATTGTTGTAATCTCTAATCTCGTGATTTTTTTTGGGATATAACCATTCCGGAGTACTCTAGAAATACGCATTTAGAAATCACAAGCATAATTCATTATTCTAAAAATATATTATGGTTTCGTAAAAAACCCTTTTTTACTTCTACAAAAAAATATGTTAATTATTAATAATACAATACAATGTATAAATATAAATAATTTAGTAATTATGAGATTATTAAATAAAACATAGAAAATAACCGAATTTTCATCAAAAAAATGCCTTTGTTTGCTTATAAAACAACAGAGACTTGAAATATCATTATATATTATGTCATTGGTTCAAACAAGAAAAAATCAAAAAGTTTCAAAATACTTTCTTAAAAAATAACATACGTAATATATATATTTATTACTATTATGTATTACCAAAAAGAATTATTTGTATACAAGGCCTTTAGTTAAAAACAAAACCTTAAACAGAAAGAAATCTTCAAATTAAGATATTCTAAATATAAATTTATCAGTAACATTAAATTAGACATCAACTTTAAACAGAACAATTAAGCAAAGAGTAGTTATTTACTAAAACTAATTTAGGAATGTTAATCAGTCCCGCAGTAATTGTCAATAAGTAATATTATAGAAAAAAGAAATTTCTCTATAACAGAAGTTTACGGTCCCTAATTGATCTCATCTAAATTATTCAGAAACTAATGATAAATTTCTATTAGAGACTGTTATAGAGAAATCAATTTTCTATAATTGTCTGGAGCGTAGCAAAGTGATACAAAAAATTACGTTTTTGATGCATCAAAAGTATCATTATTGTTGCATTCATAATAAAAATATCAAAAACGTAACTTTGAATTTTCCGTATGTCTCCACTTGCATATTCGTGTAACACAACAAATCTCATGTGATTTTGCTCCGGCTTATAACGGTTTCCGTTTTTCTAGTATTACTTTTGATTAAAAATATCAATTTTTTTTTACAAATCTTGCTCAAAGTCATCTGATAATTAGTCCATTCGTGATGGTATTATAAAAAGAGGAAGTCCTCAGATTTCCGGGTTGGAATACCTTGGAATCATATCTAATTTGCCCAAGATCACTAAAAGTTTTACTACCCAGCTGATAATTTTGGCCTGGTACTTGGCAATTTAGCCAATCAGACGAAATTTCTGACCGAAGTTACACGGGCATCAGACATGATAAATTAAAGATTGATCTGAAATTTCTAAAAAAAAAAATGCCACCAGTGCGGAATAAAAAATCTAGAAAAAGCACAAAACATGCTTCGCTGGATACTATGAGTATCTCTTCCTTAAGGAAGAAAATACGTGATAGTGAACGTGCATTAAGAACGGTTGTGTATTAATTAATTGCCTTGATCCTGTTTTTTACAATTACAGTTTAAGTCTTATCAATTCACTACTTTGCAGAAAAAGGTACATTCAGCTAAAGGTCAGGTAGGGCTGGAACGTCAACTAAAAGCTTTGAAATTAATGCTTATTGAAAGAATGGTAGAGTCAAAAGAGAAGAAAATGGCCTCCAAATATCGCATGGTTAAGCATTTTGGTAGTATCTACTGAATTATTTAATTTATGAATATTTTGATCTGTTCGCCTATAAACTCATCATTTATGTTCTAATGCTTTATTATGTAGACAGAAAGAAAGTTGAACGTGCAATAAAAAAGGCCGAAAAACAAGTTTCAGAAGCGCAGACCCCAGAGGAGATCGAAAGTTCTAGGCAGAAGTTGTCTGAATTACAGATAGATTATAATTATATAATGGTATAAATGTCGACATTCCTACTTCCTGCATAACCATGTGTCGATTATTGACCATTATGTGCAGTATTTTCCGAAGGGTCGTAAATATATGTCACTTTATCCAACGACAGACGCTGATGACCCTAAGATGGTCTCCAGGAGAAATGAAGTTAGAGAGATTATAAGAAAGGCTATGAAGAATAATGAATTGGATTCCTTGAACAAACGCTTTAGAGAAGAAATGAAAATGAAAATTATTGGAAAAGAGGAAAATAATCAACAGCGAAAAAAGAACCAAAATGAAATACTAGGTAATATATATATTTATTTTATTATATTTATGATATTTGTAAATTTTCAAGGATCTAATTAAATCGTATATAATTCGCTCAGATACAAATAATATTATTAGTGATAATTTTTTTGGTTCGGATGATGATGGTGAATAGTGTGATATACAGTATGGTATATTTTATTGTAGTCTTGTTAGCTCAATAAGATGCATAATAAATTAATTTTTTTTCTTTTTTTCCAGTAAATTTATTTTATTTTATATCGTCGCGGCTGATACTGAAATTGGCTAAACCTATTCTCATATGAAATTTTAACTTTTATTGGGTCCATCGTTTAGCCTTTTATAGTTATGGCTAGAGTTGCTAATAAAAGGGTTTATAGACCCAAATTTCAGTATTAGCCAATTTCAGCATCAGTCGTGACATTTATTTATATTTAGTATACGGATTTTCACTCTCTTTTATTCTTTCTGACCTTTCATATTGCCTTGGGGTCGGAATAATTACAGAAATAATAATACAGATATAAAACTTAATTTATAAATAGTCATGATAAAAACTTTCACATATTGTTTGCAATTTCAACATAGTCGAAAGAAAATTTGTCATTTAATGGCAAATTAATATTTGCATTCTTCATATGAATGTTGAATACTTAAACTTTCGAAAAATAATTAAAAAAAACTGGCAATCTCTAAATAGCAGTAAATAGTTTTTACTGTTTGTTTCGTTCCTTGCCAGACAATTTTTATGTGCAAATCAATGAATTTTATTTGTAGATACAATTGACTCTCAAGCTAGGCGTTGCCCTGTATATTTTGAAACATAAATTTGTTTTTTATATTGGTTTTTCAAAATAATATTTTTTAAAGAATAAGTTTCCAAGTTTGTTGCGTTTTAGTTTTAAGACTACACCTGAATAGCCAGTTTTAAATTTACTATCGAACCTCTAATACTTTCGATGTTAAACTTTTAAATTATGTGTCACGGTGTTTAATATTAATTTAATAATGCTAACGAAAAAATTCGCCATAATAAACTTTTTTACAGTCTAGGAGATTTAACTAGAAAATTTTAGTTTGACTAAAAAAATTTAAACAGTTCTAGCAATTTGAATCCAATTGCATTAAATGTAGATAAGATCCTTAAAAACTTGATGCTTCGCAAAAACTTAAATTTTTACCATTAAGATATTATTAGCAAATAGTATTTTATTTCACTTTTGGAAGATGCTTCGCTTTGCCTTTTTATGTTATTAATCATTTTCGGGTTGGTATAGAAGTTGATATATATAAGTCATCTCTTTCGTTGTGAACGCCCGTAAGAATAAATAATATATATGATTAATAAGCAGAAAATTGGTTAGTATTACATTGTTTAAATTCATTATCTTCCTTTCGACTTACTATAATAATTTAACAAAGATCGATAAGTAATAAATAATTTCGGTTTATTGATTGTACCTATTTTATTTTATTTTATTTTATTTTTTTGGTATTAAGGTGAGGTTTCTATTTTATATAATACAGTAGTTTTATAATATAATATGGTATATAAATATTAAATCCCGATCATCTTTCCGACAACTTTTTTTTAACAACGTTTTCTAACATTTATTTTTCTGACACTTTATTTTCTTGACAATTACTTTCCTGATCCTTTCATTTTCTTAACAATTACTTTTCTAACACTTCACCTTTTTAACATTTTTATTTTTCTATCATTTTTCTTTTCTAACATGTTTATTTTCTCAACACATTTACATTTATTTTTTTGATACATTTATTTTTTTGATTATTTATTTTCTTAACATATTTTTTCTTTTAACTTACAATATATTCTTTTTTTGTCATTTTTATCTTTTTGATAATTTAATCTTTTAACATTTTTAGTTCTTATATTTTTTTTCTTGATACATTTTTTTTAAAAAATATTAAGATAAGTACTTGTGACTTAGAATTTTATTAATAGTATATTCAGTAAATGGTTGCTTTATAATCACAGAAAGCAATTATAAAAAGAGTATACAACTAGACACTTATACAATTTTAATTATTGTTTAATTTTTTATTTTTTTTTTTTTTGCTTTCGCTAAGGCCATTAGTTATTGGCAGCTACTGCCTTAAATTATTGTTTAATTTAAATAATCTGTTTATAGATTTATATTAGTTATTATATCTAAAATCCATTTGTAAGTTTTCTATTAAAATATTCTAGTTTTTATATTTACTTATTTACTTATACTTACCAACTGTTTTAGTCAATAAGTAATGCAAAGATTTATAATCATTAGGTTTTTAAAGCAGTTTACTTAGAATTTTTGAACTTGTATTAAATTTTTTAGAACTTTCTATATTTTATCTTATAGTTAATCAAATAATATTATAGTTAAAATCAACACTTGTAGTTAAAATTAACTATATTTTTGTAAAGTTTATTCAAATTTCAATATTTATTTTCTAATATTTTTTTTAATCTTTTAAATAATTAATTTAAATTGTTTAATTGACTTGTAATTAAGTTTTTGGTATATAATTAAAGATCTTTTTGCTTTGATAAATTTTAACATCTTAGTTAATTATATGTTTTTTTTTATATTTATTATTCAAAATTATTTTAAGTTTTCATTAGTCTGATAATATTATTAAAAGGTTATATTATTTTTTGAATTGCTTGCTACAAAGTTACAATTTAAAATTTATAACTTATTATTACAGATTGTATAAAGCTATACTGAAAAACTATCTGAATTCTGATATTAAACAAAAGGAACCTGGTATTATTTTAAATTATACTGATATTTAAACCCTATTAGTCACCAATATAAAACAGAAATTTGACAGAATTAAGATACATTTTAGATTTATAACAAAAATCTAAAAGTAAACCATTAGTAACAAATCATAAATTAAAAAATATTATTATTTTTACTAATATCTTTATTACTAAACCAATATTAATTTTATAAAAAAAATATTGATATTGTTTAAAATACTTATTATAAGCATATTGGTATTTTAATATACTTATTAATATAGTTAATAGGTTTTTAATATTTATAATTGTTTTATTGTATTAAATATTACTAAAATATTTTTAATTAAAGCAATATACTTATTAAACATTTTATTTGTATTGTTACAAAAGCAATATTTTTTTTTCTTTAAATAATTATACTAAACTGCTATATTACTTCAAACAGAAGTAAGCTATCTTTTTATTATAATAAGCTTTCAATTATTTTTTTAACTTTATTTTTAATTTAATTTTTTTTTTTTTTCTTTTATTTCTTGCTAACCAGTCTTTTTCTTCTTGCTTAAATTTATTATTTTTTTTAGAGTTTCTTTTTTCATCTTACCTGTTATTTCTCTTTCTTTTTTATATGTATTAATCTTTTTATATTATATTTTCTAAACTTGTTTATAAAAAATATTATAGACTGTTTCTGCTACTATATTTATAAACTATTGTTTTGTTCTTATATTCAAAAGTTGTACTAATCTGTTTTAAGTTGTTTTTGGAATTAGACTCTTAATTCATGCTTTTCTTATTTTATTTTTTCTATCTTTGTTTTTTTTAAAAAGTGTTATATATAATATATAAAAGCAGGACTCGGATTTTTTTTTTCTTTTAATTCTTTTTATGCTATTGCAATGAATACTTTCTGTATTTTTTTTTAAAGACTTACTTGTTCTTTATATGATATCAGATGTTTTTATATTTTTTTAATTTTGTTTTAACAGACTTGGCATTCTGCTATTGTATATATATTTAAGCTTTTTTTATTAAGTTTTTTTAAGGTTGAAAGTTTGTCCAGTACATATTTAATAAAAACACTTGTTCTTATACTGCTTCTTCTTGTTATACAATATACTTTTTAAATAACTTTTATTAGCAAAAAAAATAGACTGCTATATATCAATTACTAATTATAGAATATATAGCAATGTTAATCACCTCTGCTGATTTATAATGATTATGATACCAATTGATGCATAACCAAAACAATAGAAATCGATACATAACTAAATGAATAAAATTGATATATAACCAAATAAATAAAAATTGATACATAACCAAAAAGATATAAATCAATATATAGCTAAAAACATATAAATCATCATATTTAATATTGTAGCAATTAATTTTGAAAATATCAAATTAAAAGAGCATTAAATTGAGAAACAACTAATTTATTTTATTTTACAATATACAATACATGTAATACATGCAATATATAAAATTTAATACAATGCCTGTTACAAGTAAGCAATACAAATAATATATAAACATTTTAAAAAAAAAAACACTATTGAAAAAAACACTATTGAACAATGCCAAACAATTTATTCTGTTTCTTCTGTGAAAGCATCAAAGAACTACTTTGAAAAAGAAGACCAGGATCAAGATCATGGTAGGGATCATGGTCATAGTGGGGATCAGCAGCTTGTTCACAGTTTTGTGTTACTGCAAATTTTTTATTAACGATTTTATTTGCTGACTCTTAACTGGGACCACTGTTGAAAATATCATTCTGCACAATAAATAAAGGTCAGTATTACTTTTTTGAGTTGTATAAATTAATTTATATCGATTCACTACAATTAATTACCAAATACTGCACCATATGATACTTAATCTGCTTTCTGCTACAAATTATATTTTTTGACTAAGGGTTTAATAAAATATTATACATGGCTAATGTAAATGTACAGTGATAGTTGGTAAGAACAGAAGCAGCAACTGTGGAGAATGCACTTCTTGCAATGATAGTGACCCAAAAAACACCTTCATCATTTTGTTTAAAAAGTAAAAATAGCAATTGCTCACTTCTTTAGTTTGCTTCTATGCAACTATAGCTGCAGCAGCAGCATTACTTTTTAGAAGTGGGGGTCTTTCATGACTGAATATACTCCAAACTGTTGAATAAACATTCTGCAGCATTGAACCACAATGTTTTTTATTTTTTGTAAAAGCTATTGAAAAAATAGTATATTGTTAAAGTTTATATATCATAAAAATAAAAGACAATAAATACAAACAATATTACTTACTTAACTGCATCACATATTGTGAAAACAGTTAGTAAACTTATGAGAACTTAAGGTGGCCATAAAATCAAAAAACCTTTCATTAAGGTAGTCCTTTAGAGACTT